AATGCATTTCGAGTTTCACAAAGCTAGCCAGTAAAAGACTACATGCATAAGGGCCTCCGTAACATGGTCATAACTCACCCAAGTCAGGCTCTGTCTGTCTGTCTGTGTCTCTCTCTTTCTCTCTGTCTCTGTCTCTCTCTCTGCAATGGTGGTTTCTCCTTGCCAGGTTGTTGGGCTCATGTCTAACGTGTCTGGTCAGCATGTCAACCATGTCTGGCGATGTGATGATGGGATTCCCGCGCTACCCAGCGCGAGCCAGGAAGTTGCACACGGGCCACCTTTTAGCCTGGGAGCGCCGTCTGGGCTCAGCCATGGAATCGGCACCCTCTGCTTCTAAAGCCACACCTCCATGGGAACAGCAGCAGAACCCCGGAATCAGAAAGATGTCCGAGCGTCTGGAAAGGTTCCAGAAGGTGCTTCCGGCCAGAGACTGTTGGACTACAGATCCAGACCTTGGAGGAGGGCTGTCAGTGATGCCGCGCTTCCTTCTGCATACCAGAGGTCTTCAGACTGCGAGAGGAAGTGCGTCCCCTGAAGAGCTTGTTCAAGCAGACCACTGGTCTCCACCCAAATCAGAGTTTCCGCCCGACAGGCAGGAGCGACCTGGGATATTTGCATGTCTAACAAGTTCCCCAGAGACGTTGCTGGTTCTGTGGGGGGAGGATCTGAAAACCACTGCGGTTCGCCCAGGGCTCTCAACTCTGGCGCATCTTAGTGTCCAGAATGTTTTCAAATATCTCCCCTGGTCATAGATAGTTGGACTTACTTTTGCATCTGTATCTTTTTTTATATTTGGTTTTAAATAGTTATGAGGAACACCTGAGCTCCTCTCAATTTGAGTGCACTCGGGTTACAAACTCTTGTGTGGTGGAATACACCTTCAGTCAGCATTCGAGAAGCAGAGGTTTCTGTAGCCAGAGGGCAACCTGGTCTACACAGACTCTACCACCCAGATTCTGCCTCAATAAACAAACAGGCAAACAATAATCTCTTTAGGTGATTCCTGCTGGCATGATTCTAAAATGTGCCCAGAGACAGCCCCGCCCCACATTAGACCATTGGAACCAGCATCTGCATTTTAAGCAGGGTACCAGGTGGTCCAGACACCTGCTGGAGCCTCAGCGCGGCCTGGGTTTCATCCTAAATGCGATTTCATCAAGGAAGGTTTCTCATAGCACTTTTGGTGTATGAGCTAGATCTCTGGAGCTCTCAGAGAGAGAGAGAGAGAGAGAGAGATGGAGACTACAGCATTCAGTGTCTCCCACTCCCCAGAAGGTGAAGGGAAGAAAACTTTCCCCTGATATGACTGCCCTTGACTACAGAGAACAAACGTTAAGCACCCTGTGTAACCAAGGAGGAAACCTCAGTGGTGACGGCCAAGCCTTAGGAAAAGAGAGCGTTACTCAGGCAAGAGTGGATCTAACTCGGTGTAGTCTCATCCTGGGCAGCAGTTGATGCTAACACTCATAGGTGTGTATGCTTACTGTTCTGTGTGAGTTATACCCTTTGCATTTCTAGAGTGACTCAGCCACTCACCCCTCCAAGGATTGTAGACTACCAGGCCCAAGAAGATTCCAACCACCTACTATGATAAATATTTGGGGCCCTAAGCACGGAGCCCAAACAAGGACCTCTATAAAGATGCATACACAAGTGTGAACTGTGTAATAGTTACCTTGTTAATAGAAGTGTGCATGTGTCTATGGTTACCTGTGCAAGCCAGGTAATGCCCCTGGCATTATCGTCTGCAACGCCACCTGCTTCCTCTGAGCAGGATCTCCCTCTTGTCCAGAGATAACCGATTAGGCCAGACTGCCTGGACCAGGAATCTTTCTGTACATACCCCCACAGTGCTGGCATTGCAAGTCTTTGCCCCTGCTGGCTTTCTGTATGAACACTGGGGATCAAACTTGGATCTTCGTGGTTGTGCAGCAGGAACTTTAACAACTGAGCCATCTCCCTGGCCCACTGCAGCATCGTCTTTAATTTTTAAAAAAAAAAAAGAAATAAGCTATGGAGAGGGAATACATAAATTCTTAGAATCCCTAGGTGTCTACTCAAAGAATGGGAATTGTCTATGTTGACATTTTTGTGTGTAGTATAACTCAATTTGGTTTTTTTTTAATCATAATATAGATTTATAAGCAAGCATTAAAAATATGCCAATATGTCCACCAATGTGTACAGAGAACACTCTTAGGACATGAAACTGTGTCACAGGAAGCAGGTTTTGACTTTTCAGTAGGCCCGTCTAAACAGTTTGTGTTTAATATAGCAATCACGTGTTGCTTTTATTACTTAAAAATATTTCAAACAAGTAAAACGTGGGTTTTTTTTTTGTAAAACATGTTTTTGGCTGCGCTTTCTGGGTGTGTTTTCCTGTACCAGTCCATTTAGTTATACACTTCAGGCTCATTAATTAGCTGTAACATAATACACTCTAATTAAGTTTTGGCCTTTTTTGATAAACCTAATTCAGTCTCTATGCCTTGGAATTAGATCTATTATGATTCTCCCCTCCCAAGAGTACTTTATTTCTTAAAGATTAATTTTATTTATGTGTGTGTACATGTGTATATATGCATAGGTGAATGCAGACACCCGCAGATTTCCAAAGAAGGCATCAGATCCCCTGGAGCTAGAGCTACAGGCAGCTGGGAAACACCTGATCTGATGTGTGCTGGGAGCTGAGCTTTACTCCTCTGCAAGAGCGTCAAACACTCCATCACTAACCACTGAGCAATCTCTCCAGCCTCAAGTTCTGAATTTTAATCACTGATGCGTCCTCAGGTCTCCATCTCTATACTTTAGTGCCTGTGCTTTAATACTGCTGCTTATCCAGCTTACAGTTCATTTAGAACATCAGATCTCTTGTTAACGCATTGCTACTAAATCAGAATCGACTCTTTTTACAAATACAGGGATGGACGTTTGTTTCTTTTTGCCAAATTTCATCTCCTAGATTCCAGCCATCCATCCAGGTTTGTTAATAAAATTCTGCATCTTTTATTCTATCACAGTAGATGCTCCTCTAAGTCTGACAGAGCCTGAAAATCTAATCACTGTAAAGGTCACAAAATATATACACAATTACACAACAGTAAACTTCTCAGTTGAAAATTACTGAAACACCCACACAAGTGTGAGCCTTGATGTAAGCACTTGCCCTCCTCAACTAAAACTCTTTTCTCAGGGTTTATATGCAGGGCTCGGCCTCTTCTGGTCCACCATTACTATTTTGTTGTTGCTGTGTGTGAGAGAGTATGTGGATGCATGCACGCATACAGAGGTCAGAGGGCAACCTTAGGGAGTCAGTTCTCTCCTTTTATGGTGGGACCTGGGGAATGAACTCAGGCTCCAAGAGCGACAAGCATTTCCCTCTGCATCATTCTGCTGGCCCCATCTCAGTTGTTCTTGTGTTTTGCTTTGTCTCTGAGAGAAGGTCTGGTTACATAGTTCATTCTGGCCTTGAACTCTCTATATTACCCAGGCTGTAAATCCTCTTGCCCCGGCCTCTAGTGTTGGGATTGGGATTTACAGGCCTAGATCATATCTCTGGTATTGAGGTTCATACCTTTCCTCTGGCCCCAGATCAAAGTAACATTTCTGTATTCAGGAGGCAGCAGGTAGGATTAGCCATTCACCTTGGCTCAATCAAATGTGGCCACAGAGCTAAGTCCAGGCAGAGCCAGCATGGCTACCCGCAGGTACCCTCTATGAGAGGTGCAATTCTCAGAGAAAGAGCTGACGTGCTAAAAACTACCTAGAAAGCAAAAATGTGTCTAGTATAGAAATATCAGTGGACACAACTCCATGTCTGAAACATGAGGAACCAGGTTCACCTGAGGTCAAAGAATGGCAACTCAAAACTAAAGAATAGAACGCAAAGGGGCTAGAGAGGTGGTTTGGTGGTTAAGAGCACCAACCGCTCTTAGAGAAGATCAGGAGTTGATTCCCAGCATCTGCACTGCAACTCACCACCATCTGTAACTCCAGTTCGGGGATCTGCTTTCCTATGCAGGCAAAACACTCATAAATATTAAATAAGTTTTTAAAAATTTTAATAGAACATGGTTGTGCATACCTGTAATCCCTACACTGGGAAGGTTGTGAGTTCAGGGCCAGGCTGGGCTATAACTTGATATACACACACACACACACACACACACACACACACACGAGAGAGAGAGAGAGAGAGAGAAAGACAGACAGACAGACAGATAGACAGAGACACAAAGAGACAGACACAGAGAGGAAGAATTAGAGGAGTTAGTACATTAACTTTTCAGTCAATCTGGGGATTAAATTTTATTTTTGATACAAATTACCTATTTTAATCCCCAGAAAAGCTAGAGTCTTTATACTTCAGTTTCTCAAATATACAATGGTAAAGTAAAATTAGCTGGTGCCATTGTTTAGCTATAGATACTTACTCAATGATATCATATAGCTAGTAATATGCCTATTACTAATAGTTAATAGGACAGCTATCATTGCTAATATCATTACATACCATCAGTATTATGACTTAAAGCTATTGCAGAGTAAATAAAAGGTAGTGGGATTGGATAAAATTATATGCTTACATATGTTTATGAAATGTATATCAATGATGGCATTTGTTTGTTATGTATGAGGAGGAAATATATGGGGGAAATAGAGCATATCCACATGCTATGAGACATAAAATGATAAGGTAATAAGTACATTCAAATAGAGAGGTTAATAAAGCATAACTATAAGTGGGTCCTTGAGTATGTGCTCCTCCTGTTGCATGGCTGTGCACACCTGTGGGGTTACACAAAGAAACGCTAAATGCTCACGTCCTGAAATGTAAGCTCTGTTGGCACAATGGATTGAAGCACATATGTGGCGGAAAAACAATCTTTTTGTTTAAAATAGAAACTTTGAAGAAAGCCTAGTTAACACGTGACAAATGAAGATCCAGTCCCCCTGGAGGGGTGGGGGGAAGTCCTTCCTTTCTGGAATGAGACGGGGCATGACTGAGAGCAAAACTGACGTTTCCTCTTCAGTGAAAATCCTCCAGCCAAGCTGTGCGCTAACAGAGTAGGCGATTTCACTTCGTCACTTCACAAAAGACTTCCAAATTCACTGCAGCAGACACTGCAAAATAAAAATGTTAAGTACATCCTAGCTTGTGGCGGGGGAGACGGAAGGCTCCGTGTTCAATCAAAGGTTTGCAATAATAGGATTCATTTAAGAGGGGGGGGAAAAGGACAGATGGGATTAGGAAATGTTGCAGTGAGGCTGTCATGAGAGGAACAGGCAGCCTGCCTTTTGTGGACTTGCACAATGATCGCAGAGCCAGACTGGCTTAGGAGACCCTGGGACTAGAGCTCCAGAGAGAAGCCACCAGCTCCCGGACACCCTGCAGGGCAGGGGGCTGAAACCATGCATCAGATCTACAGCTGCAGTGATGAGAATATTGAAGTCTTCACCACAGTGATTCCTTCCAAGGGTGAGTAACAATCGCCCTTGACGTCCCCTACTGTGGCATCTTATGCGGGAGGTGACGGGGAGCTGTTGGACCTTTAAGGTACACTGGTGCGCGTTACCCTCGGGTCCCAAGGTCTGTTGGCGTCTCCGTTTTGATGGCATTTGATTTCCCCCCCTTTCTGAAGAGGGGGCACAAGGATGAACATCAATCATAGGGAAACAGTCTATTAAGGCGGGGACGAGGGCAGCACAGCTTTCCTGCTTCACTTAATTACAAAAAAAACCGGGCGACCCAGCAGGCTCCACGGCAGCGACCGCAAGTGACTGTGAAAGAGATAGGGATGGAAACAGAGTTTCCAGGGCAGCCAATAGGCATTTTCATTGTCTCCAGTGAGAAAGCAGGTTCTGAAAGGACAATCAGCTGTTCCAAAAGCCAACTCCGTCGGATTTAGGAGGGGAGAGGCTCCCAGCTGGCCAGACACCCAGCAAGGCAACGAAACTGGGCCTTGCCCCCAGGCTGACTTCTCCGTAGAACCAGGGTCATCCCACCTGGTACCACCAAAGGGCACCACCTGAGAACCTCGACTTCATAAGCTCTGACAGGGCCCCGGGAAGGGCTTTGTGAGGCTGCGATCCAGAGGATCGCTTGCCAGTATAAAGCCTTCTAACCTTGACATTGTTCTGGTCCTGCGGCCCCTTATCTTGCTGTGGCACAGGCTTACTCCTGGCTTCACTGTGATATTTGGCTGAAATGGTTTGGATGTTTGCTGGTGCTGGGAGGCCACATTCAAACAGTTCTTTTCTTCCTCCCCTCCGATGTCAGCCACAGAGGAGCCTTGCTCCGGAGGCAGGGCAAGACTTAGGCTGGACACGGGCAGACAGGGGAACATAAATTGAGCTTGCAGCGTCTACTCAGGAGGGAGAGGGGAGGGAAGGAGAGGAGCTGAGAGAGGGGCCATGTGTAGGAGTTGAAATTCTCTCTGGAGATTGAGAGTCAACCCTTCTGAAGAGGAATGAACTAGATCCATGTGCACAGAAACGACCCCTTCCTTTCCATTCTCGTCCTTCTCTGCTTTTGTTTTTGTGGGGGTTTTTGTGTTTTTTTTTGGGGGGGGGGATTGCATTGCTAGTGAACCAGGAGCCCATGCAAAGGAAGTTCTGTACCACTGAGCTACCAACAAGACCCTAGATGGCTGTTGAAAAAGAAAAAGCACGCTGAAAACCGATATATGCTTGGTAGCGACTTGGAACCATAAGATTATTCTGCAAAGGGTTTATGAGCACATTTTTGGAGCAAAGTATGTAAACAAGACTGGAAAGGTCCATATGTTATAAAATCAGTGAGCTCAGTGGTCCTGGAGAAAGGTGGAAAGAGAGTTAGAGAAGGCAAAGGGGGGCTAAAACATCACTGTTAATCTTTGAGAAGCGAAAGTATTAGTATGTTCATTTTCACTGACACGGGTGGCCCATGCCTGTAGTTCAAGAAAGCTGAGACCAGAGGACCTCAAGTCCAAGGCCAGCTGGGGCATAGAGCAGCACGGAGTCCCAGAAAGAAAAAAAAGCCCGTTTCTTGTAATTGAAAAAAATAAGGGAGAGAAAAAGTCCTTGAGAAAGTGGTTATGAACTTCTGCCACTTCCGTACTGTGTGACCTTGCGCCAGCCACTCACCCTCTCCTGGCATGAGTTCCCACCTCCATAAAGGAGATAAGCAGAATTTAGCTTCCAAGATGATCACAGGGAATAAATGGATTGATACATAGAACAATTATAATGGAGCTGTCACAACCAAATACCATTAAACACATCACATAAACAGTGATTCAAGTATTCAGCCTTCGTGTGTGTATGTGTGTGTGACCATGAATATGTTAGGTAAAGATAAATATTTGGTCCTGTATTCTTTTCTCAGCCATCATTGCGCCTTAAGCTAAGTTTTCACAGACATTCCACTCCCGAGTATTCGCCCCTTGCCTGGTTCTGGGCAAGGACTTCGTGAAGGCTGGTTCATTTCCTCCTTCACAGAGGCCTCCACCGTAAGTGCCACTATTATCCCCGTCTGACACAGGAAGAAATCAAGGCCTTGAGGGAGTGAGAAAACTGTTTAACTCGTCAAGTTCAGATTCACCTCCTACTGCAGGAAGTTGGAGTCCCTGGTTATCAGCGAGCGCGTTGAACTCCGGGCTTCACAGCTGCAAGGGCTTTGCAGAGAGGAACAGGGACAGTGCTCTCTCGTCACTCCTTTGATGTGTTAAGAAGCCAGGCAGGGTGGGGCACACCTTTAATCCCAGCACTGGGGAGGCAGAGGCAGGCGGATCTCTATGAATTCAAGACCACTCTGGTCTACAGAGTGAGTTCCAGGACAGCCAGGGCTACACAGAGAAACCCTTTCTCAAATAAACAAAAGATGAATAAGAATAAGAAGAGGAGAAGGAGGAAGAAGAGGAGGAGGAAGAAGAGGAAGAAGAGGAGGAGGAAGAGGAAGAAGTCAATTCAGAATTCAGTTCTAATCAGGATGGAGACATGGTAGGATATTTTGGTCCCATTAGATCATCGTAGCAATACGGAAGGTTGATGACCGGGCATAGGGTGACATGAAACATACAAGGCCAAACATTATGTGTGTGTTCTTCTGATGTGCGGAACCTCCAGTACTCAACATCACAGAAATGAAAAAGGAGGAATACTAATTACCAGAGCTGGGAACAGTGGCCGTCACTACAGTACGAGCCACACCTCAGCCCACAAAAAAACACTAACTTTTTAATAGCTAATTGATTTATTTAAGGTTCCCCCCCCCCCAAGATATGGTCTCTTCTGTTAGCCCAGGCTAGCTAGAACTAGCTAGCTGGGGATGACTTTGAACTTTCTTGTCCCTTCTCCTGTCTCCACTTCCCAAGTTCTGAAATTATAGACGTGAACCAACATACCAGGGTTTATGTGGTACCGAGGGTCAAACCCAGAACTGCCGGGAATGGCAGGCAGACACTCTTGCAATTAAGCTATATCTTTCCCTACTAGCCTATTTTAATTGTTGATGAATACACACACACACATTAAAAGTTACCATTTCATCACACACGTGTACAGCTCAGTGACACATGCATTTAGAGTGCTGTACTCCAGTACCACCATCAATCTCCTGAATTTATCATTAGCCTAAGCTGAAACTTCATGTCAACTAACAATAATGCTTCGCTCTCCCAGTCTCCCAGTCTCCCAGCCTCCCAGCCTCCCAGCCCCCCAGCCTCCAGCCTCCCAGCCTCC